TGGGCCCCTCCTAGGGAAAGGTTAAAGTTCATGTCTCTCAATTTATTTACTTTTGACCTCTCTTTTGTAGAGTTTTCAGCTTAAATTTTACATCTATTGTGACAACCAGCAGCCCTGTGAAGACCTACTTAGGGGAGTCTACTGAAATCAGGTTCTAGGAGCACTCTTCGGAGAGAGTTCCCAAGTTTTCCAGTTGGCAAATGCAGGTCCCTTTGCAATTTAGAACTCCTCTAATTTCAACAAAGCGATCTAAGGCCTTTCTCTCTCTACACACCCACTAATAATTTGTTTCTGTTTTGGTCATCCTTTGATCTCCTGCGGTCACCCAGCTTGCTCCCGTTGGGCTAAGCCTGTGTGCTGTGGTCTTCCCAGTTCATCCTCCCCTTTCCCCATTCTTCCTTTCAACATCTATGCTTGTTCCAATCTTAAGTCTTTTGGGTCTGCCATGTGTATCTCTGTATGGGAATCACATTGGGAGTGAAGTCACTGATGATGTCTATCCTAAATACAGCGCTAAGGTACAAATTTCAAAGAATCTGGAAAGAAAAAGAGAGAGAAAGTCACAAACACCAAACCACTGTTTTACCAGCAAACCTGTGCTTCCAGCAAGGTAGGAAGACTGTGTAGCCGTGTCTTGTGAGAGATAAAGCAAATTCACAGCAGATGTCTTCATTCTGTATTACTTGCAGGTAAATAATAAGATGGGAATCTGTTTTCCTTTAAGCATCTGGGGCACACCGTTAAAAGGAAGATCATTATAATGTGCCCCTTACATACTGAAAACGGGAAAGTGAAAGTGTTCTTTTATACGGCAAAAGTAATCTTTTAGCTTTCAAGTCTATTTGGGGATTTTTCAGTGTTCGACTCATACTTTTTTAAACACTTGTTCTTAACAACAGAAGGCTACTCAGTCTTCATGAGGGTAGAAGGAACACACGAAAGCAGCACAAATTTTTTCCTAGCAATAATTCAGGCAATACTGCTGTCCACTAATAAAGTCGTCTTATCTATGCTCTTATAGCAATATTAGACAATGAAAATAACATAGAGAATGAGCCGAAAAAAACATTTTTCACCCCACCAATTGCTCTCTCTGAACATACTGCAACAGACAAAGAGGCAGTTCTTTGGATAACCAAACTCATATACCAGTCAAAGTTAACCCACTGAAACTGGGGAGTTCTTTCTTCATGTAAGTTATACCAGGGGAAAAAATATAATCAGAGAATAAAATGAAGTAATACCCCCAGCTTTCCTTTGTCCTAAGAGGGAAAAATAAACAGTGAGATCAGGTCAGAAAGAGACTTACGACACTGGGACAAACTTGGGGAGACTCTGAGTGAGAGGGTTTTGATCTTCTGTTACTGTTTAAATGTTGAAACAAGTGATGCCTCTATTATAACTTCTTCTGTACAATAGCCAAGGTAACTTTGCAAACGTACAACCAAGCAAGGAAATTCAGGCTCACTTGCAGTGTGTCTTTTACTGAAAAATACATTTTATTTATCATAACATTCAAAAAAAGAAAAAAAAAGGAAAAAAACAAAAACAAAAACAAAACCCCCAACATAATACAAATGCTAACTCATTCAGTTACAAACTTTGGTACTTGGTGGTTTCAGGCAGTTTGTTCTCCCGTGGTTGTGATGTACTAAAATGTTCCCAATGCGCAACACGCTCCTAGTGCAATTCTGAGAGTGACTCCGCTGTCCTTCAATCCCAGGCTCGTGGCATCCTGAAGCAGGATCACTTCTTGTTTTGTCTAAGCACTTGCCGCAGTGTTGTCTACATTGAGAGCAGCTCAAAGAGTCCATTTTTCTCCAGTTATATATATCTTCTTTTTCTTTTTTTTTTCCTCCACAAGCAACAACCATCAACACATCACGTTCATGGCATTTTCCCCTTTGCCTTATAGACCACTGCTCTCTCATCAGACATACCACCCACATCCTCTTAACAATCATTGTCTTTACTTCACATTTGCACTTTTAAATATCTTTACACCGATAACTAACCCACCCCATTAAAAATGGGAGGAAAAAGAAAGGGAGGGAAAAGAAAAAAGAAATAAAAAAAGAAAGAGGAGGGAAAAAAGCACAAGCATTTTTAAAGTATGTGTTCTCAGGTAGCCACAAGTTAATGGTAATTTATAAGCATAAGGAATGACACTTTAGCCTTTAACACTAGAGAATAAAGGTAGCTTTGAATGCAGACAAGGGGGAAAGACACCCCACAAAATCCATAAATACATGTTAAGTCATTCACTAATTCATTCACCAAGGGTTAAATTTGACTAAGTGAAACCAACCCTGCTGCAAAACACCAGAACAACATTCTGGTGCATCACTCCAGTTCCACTCAAACTTTTAACTGGATCCTGACCTAAAACACGTGGATAGTTGGGTGTTGCAGCCCTTGAACCCTGACAGCGGGGCTGGGAAAGAACTCGAGTGGTGCACAGGATTTTGCCCTGCTTTGCACATGGGGTGAATTTCAGCTGTAACATATTATGACTGCACCGTGAAACATATAATACTAGCAGCTTGTGAACCCTGACATGGAGGGCTTGCGTATAATCAAGATATGTGGTCACACATCACCCCATCAACTGGAGAAATTCACCACTGGGTATACATGGAGGAGCACCATATTACCAGATTTTTTTCTGGTGACCTTTTGTGGGATTATCTGCTGGGTTCAGATACACTCAAGCCCAGAGCTCTGTTTTTATATGCATAAAGTGAGGAACCCAGTATTTGGGTCTGCAAGGCACTCAGCGCTCTGGGCCGAGTTCAGCAAAGCATTGTATTGGTGGGAGAAGGGAAAAGAAAAAGGATTGGGTTTCCACTGAAGTCCCCAGCAATCTGCTCAAATATTTGGAGTTAGAGATGCACATGAAGGCTTTGCTGGACTGGGTCTGCAAAGCGAAGCACCTTCCAAAGCTGACCCCTTGATGCAAACACAAAGTCGCTTCAGTAACAGACAAAATTAAGTAAACGCTGTTTGACATTATGACTGACACATTCAATCGAATCTCCCCTGAGAAAAAAATAGTTGTTGGTATTCCCTCCTTTCATTGCTTTCGTCTCCATGGGCGGTAAAAGAAAAAGCCTGCAAAATTTTCCTCCAACAAATACATGCTGAAACCCTGGGCACTTGTTTTCTACGCTTGTTTGTTTGTTTGTTTGTTTGTTTCCTTTCAAGTACACTGGGTGAAACTGTAAACCTGAGTTTGTGTGTGCAAACCTATATCTTGTAAACTGCAATGTGAAACTTCACTCTGAGCACCGACAGAGGGAAAGATAGGACAGAAACACTTTTAAAACACGGATGCTAGTATTATAGTGTACGTACTGTACACGTGTGTGTCACAGTGGACGACCAACACTGGTACCTGCACTGTCCTGCAGTCCCAAGTACTGTTTCATTTAACACTGATACTCTAGTCATAACAGATTTATCAGTCAAGAAAACAGGGAGGAAGCATTCATTTCCTTTAAGAGGCACTCAGCCTGAACCCCAGTAGGAAGTTAAAGCTCGTAACTGTAGAATGTACAACCAAGGAGCACAGGGATTAAGCCTACACGTTATACGCTCTAGCTGGGCCTGCCAAGCTCTTTAAAAAGGTTTAGAATAATATTTTTTCCACTGGATTTCCACAATGATGAAGATAAATGAGAAGAAATGCACTTGCAGTGCATTTCATCTTGAGGGCAATTTCAATTTGTGCCTGTGAATAAATAAATTGCATTGAAATACAGTCTCACACATATGGTTAAGACAGTTCTGGCTGAGTTTTCTGTATCTTGAGAGTTACTCAGGAAAATGAAAACTTGGGGCTTATTTTAAAAATGGAAAACACTGAAACTTCCTCAGCATCAGGAAACCTCAAAAACAGGAGGAGGAAAATTCTGCCTGTGGGCAAGCGCTTAAGTATAGACTTCTGGGTTTTGCATTTAGAATTTAAAACTACAATCTGTTACCTCAGGGAAGCTTTATGCTTAATAATTTAGGCTTGCTCATACATTTATTTGCTTCCCAAAGTGCTTCGCTGAACTGACATTTTGGGCAGGGAGCAGATTACTGTAGTTTAGTTTTACTGTCATGATAACAATTGTCTTTTGCTGAGACAAACTAGTTGCTGGTAACAAAACAATCAGTTTGAGTTCAACATATGCATCACTGCATTTTGAGTAATCTTATATGAGTAATCTTGTTCAAAAGACAAATATTTTCTTAGCAAGTACAGATAGTGTAATTGTAGCCCTCAGATAAACCTGTCAAACAACAGTTAAAAAAACAGCTATGTCATATTGTGGCTGTAACATTTTAAAAATTCCTGTCCTGGGGGAATGGCTAGGATTATGTTTTTAGCAATGTTGCAATTAAGGAAGAATAGGCTGCAGTCTTAAAGAAAAATAAATGCTGTCCTCTCCTTTAGAACCAGGATTTTAAAATATTACATTCAATTTCTGGTTTCCCAGCATTTAAACACTGTCATAATTAAGGCAACTTGTGATGTTCAACACAGTACAGAGGAGCAAACAAAAAACAAAAGCAATCAAATGTGTTTTCTGACATTTACACAATTTGTTTTGAACCATGCCAAAAAATAAACACGAAAGATAATTTTACCACTACAGCTCTCTCTGTTTGCAATTCCAAGTGAGGAGTACAGAGTACAAAAAGCCATCTGATCACAAATTGTCACCAAAACCTATAGAGAAGACCCTCGTTACTGCAATGGGAGAGAGCTGAGGGCTTTATTTTTTTTTCTGTTGAAGAGCTGCAGGGCTGCGCTGGATCATCACAACACATTTGAGGGACCTGAACGAATCTGTGCATCGATCCACACCAAAACACTGCTGCTTTACACCCTGCATTTTATAAACAGTTGTGGTGGCACTACTACCACTAGCTACCAGCACAGAGGCAATGCCTAAAGCCTGCAAATTGGCTTCAATACAAAAACAACTTTGCACAAAATAATGCAGTCATTTAGTATTGCTCACATAATTAAATGCAGGCATACTCCAAAACTGGGGGGCATTTAGGAGAAAACAAGAAACTTACACACTTGGTTCATATGATGAAGCAAAAAAAATCGAGAAAACTGTAAAAGCAGTTTTTAGGATGAATGTTTAAGAGTTACGAAGAGTATTTTAAATTAAAGAAGTGTAATTCTTCTTCCTTATCCCTGTGAAAAAAACCCAAAGAAAAACAGAAAAGCATCATTAATATAAAGTAGATTTTTAGAGAGATGCCATAAACATCTGAACAATCTTTACTCTTCTAAAGAAGTGAATAATATCTTCTTTGTTGTCAACACCATTCCTGCTACTCACTGTCTAAGCTACTGCCAAGAATCAGGCAATAGCACCCAACTTTTTAAACTGTCAGTGGTCAGACACCCTTATTTTCCGAGCAGAACTCATCCTTGCTGCCCAAGGTGTGCAACATGTGGTGCCTCATAACGCCACAGTTCCTTATGGACTGCTACTGAGGAACGCCATGAGCATAGGTGGAGAGAGGGCAAATGTGATCTATCCAGGATTTAAATGATCCATCTGCTCAGTTAAAGACCTGGGCACTTCACTTACCAGCACAGCATCCAGCATGGCATACAGAAGCAAAAGGGCAACAACCCACAACCACAACTCCACTTCTGTGGAGTTAAGACTTAAACGTTGGCTCAGGAAATCATCCTGGTCAAGACGAGTCATTAAGCTCACCATTAACTTTTACTGGTATCAAGGCTAAGCACTATTTAAGCCTTTCCTAAGTAGCTATGATTTTGAACACAAGCTCATGCTTATTTCCATTCATAATCTGATTTGCTAGATCAAATTTTGAAGCCTTTTTGGTTCTTGGAATATTCCTGTACTTCCCACTAAAATTAGATAAATGTTTTACTAAATTCTCAGCAAAGGCATCAGCATAAATAAATCCTATATACTGCATATTTCCTTGTAAGTTGACATTTTGACTTGATAATGTATAACATACATTGTGCCGAACGGGGAACAACTAAAATAAAGTTTAAAACATCAATTTATGAACCTTTAAAAATCATACATATATGCTACCCAAACAGAATTAGTTTTTAAAGGCAGGCATAGACTGTCTGATGATAGTTAGGAAGAAAACACAACTGATAAGTATACTTGTATGCATATTCCTGTAAGGTGGTTATGCACATTTGAATGGAACAATGAAAAATACCCTTTTAATATTGGCACTACAATGTACTACAGTTGCTTTCTACTTTGCTACCTGTTATTTTCTTGTTTATTTACCTAACACAAGGCAGAAACTCTACAGAGTATAAGGTGAGAATAGCTACTAAAGTTATAACTACATTTTCAGTCATCCAGGCTGGGCATGCGCTCCCATCAGGCAGTCTGCACACCACGGGATGGTGCTGTCTAGGTTTGGATGCAAGCAGATTGGCAAGTTTACTTGCACTGGAAATTAGCATAATTTTTCCCCTACATGAAGAAAGAAGTACAGCAAGCAAGTACTATGTTGCTAAAGCTCCTCAGCTACTGTGAGTGAGGAAGAGGGGGAAGAAAAATGACCTTACAATATCTCTGAGAAACGTGCACATATTCTCTAATATTTGCCATATATAAACTATTAAATAATAGTTCAGAAATGGCTCCTTGGATTTTGCCAGAACACAATTTGATGGGATCCATTTTATCCCACTGACTATGCAGAAAAGAGCACCAGATAAAGGGAGAAGTCCTGGAAGAGCAGCAGATGTGCAGGACTCGGTGCCAACATCATCACAGGCATCACACCACCACCAAAGCTACAAGTCACCCCGGTCTTCAAAAGGTGACAGAGATCAAGAGGGAGAAGTCCAGTGGCACAGTTTGTAAATGAAGATGGGAAAAAAATAGGGCAAAGGGGAAGAAGATATTATGTGCAGTGCAGAAAGGACACAAGAGTGGAAAGAAAGCATTCATTCAGCTTATTTTGGCCAGTAAAGAATAGGGACCTGAAAGGACAGTGCTTTATTCAACTCTCACTGATGAAATCTGGCTGGTCTAAAATCTGTTTTAGGATCTGCACAGCATGGCTGCAATGAAAAAATCCATTCTGATGTGAAAGCAACTGGGATGAAAAAATTATCAACAGTTCACCCTCTGATTCATATGCAATTATACTGCCCTTATTGTTAGGGGAAAAACACTACCCCAAGCAAACAAGTGGTTTTAATTAGGAAGGGAACAACAAAAGAGATAGAGGAAAATAATGGAAAACAAAAGCAAAAGCAGATAATAGAGGAGAGAAGAGGAAAAATTATCCACATGGACAGAGAAGTTATGTAGGTGAATGAAAATAATGGGAAGCAGGCTATAGATGCAATTCCCCTCTGGCATAAACCCTATTTTCCACTGAGAATCACATGAATAACCAAAGTCTAATGCCAAGCTAGATGTGTCTTGCTGCACAAAATTAAAGTTATTTGTTTTACTGACTTTCAGAACAGGTCAAGGAAAAAAAAACTGTACACCTTATCCATCATACTCCAGCAGGACACCTACCTCAGCAGGTCTGAGACAGCCTGGAGGAGGGTATCCCTGTCTGTATTAGACAACATGCACCATGGCATGTTAAAAGATTAAAAGAATGATAAAATCAGCTTAACGTCTTCATACTGCTGAATGACTTTCTGTAATGAGTACACAAGTTTTTGCATCACCAGTCTTTTGGGGCAGCTTTCACACCTGTGTTGCAATGGTAGAGCTCTGGCGTAACACAGTTAAGGAGGGTATTGATGCAGTTATTAACTTCACCACTGAGAAACAGCAATTTGCCAAGAGCATGACCCACCTCACCAGGTACAGGTACAGTAGGCAAGCTGGCTACACAACACAGCAGGATAACCGCCTGGGAATCGAGGGGCAGGCCACACCAGGAAATATGTTAGGTTTCACTTTTAAAGAGTGATACAAGAAAAGCTAGAGGTTTTTGTTTAAATAGCTGCTGTTGGAAATATAGGTACTGTATACCACACCTTTTCAAAAACATCAAGCCTCTAAACTGAAGTCTTACAAATTCCTTCTGCTGGCAGTCTCAACTCAGCCTATAGACCAAATGGGGAAAAAATCAATTACTTTTTGCCATTTTCTTTAGATACTCTATGGAGACTTTACTGAGAAGATGAACTCGAGTAGGACAGCAGAGCTCAAGTTAAATTAGCACTTTGTCTATCCTGAGTGACCCATAAGGGCCAATGAAAACAACTTCATTTATAGCCAGGATAAAAGAATGGAACTTTCAAGATAAAATATTTACAACCAGCGAAAAAGTAAGTGTATAAATCATGTCAGTAAGGTTTCATTCAACAAATAATCTACTATGCAGTAGTAGATGATGCGAACTAAAAGAACTGTTAAAACAAAAAAGATAACCCAAGTTCTGGAAGAAACCCTCAAGCATCCAACTGGACAAAGCTCAACATAAACTGGTGACAAACTCTGACTCTCTGTTGCTGCTCTTTCTCTTTGCTTTTTCATATACACCAAAAACCAGCGCTGTGAGTCTTCTGGTAAGCCACATAAGATTTTGGTAGCTCTGCCCAATACTGCACTTGATAAAGATGAGCCATGCCATTGTTCCTCAGTTATTTTGTACAAGACATCCTGGACCATCCTGCACCATGGTTTCAATGCATGCTGTACGCCCAGTCCCACGCCCTCCTCCTTGCTCCAGGACAGGTACTCAGTGCCCCTGCACATGCATCCCTGAATTTGAAGGCTGGTCCTGGGTTATAGTCCTAAGTAACTGGACACTGTTAGGACTGTGGCAGGCCAAGCTCAGAGTAGCTGAGCAAAACTGTGCTTAGCAGCAGTGCCTGTGGGCTGTTCTGGAGCTCTCCTGCAGCACAGGCCCCTGCCAGCAGCTCCGTGGCTCCGGGAGAGCATATCAGGGTCCACCCCATGCATTCCGCTCCCTCATCCCACCAACAAGAGGGACCTGAAATAAGGGTTTGCTTCCATCAGACCCCTCTTCCACTCTTCTTGAGGCTGGGGAGAAACAAGGGGTCAGGGCAAAGCGAGAGGTGTTCACCTCCCCTTGGGAGGAAGAGGTGAGAGAAGGGGAGGATGTGTTGCTGAGGTGGAGGGACTGTTTCATGGCTTGGAAGATAGTTCCAGAGGAGATGCCCAAACACACTTCCCCAGGAGCAAAGGGAGGTGCCTCAGCCCCAAAGCTGCACAAATACAGGCTGTGTGACAAGCAGCTCTGGAGTGCTTCTCCTGAAACTGCTTCCAGGCCAAAAAAAGGTGATATTTACTGCTGTGAGGTGTGTCTAACCTTTGTGTTTCTATCTTATGCCTGTATTTTAAGCCCTGGTGAATGCCCGTCAGTGGACCCTCTCCTCCTTGAGAAGCTGTGGCACAGCTGTCATTTGGCAATTAGCCCACTCTGCCCTTAACCATCACTGGCCAGCCACTCTCACCTGCGCCCCTCACCGGTGCTCTACCACAAAGCGCATGGTGGTGCCGTCGAAGGAGGGCGGTGCGACGATCCTCGGGCCGGTGGCGGGCGCTGTGATGCTGATGACCGGCTTCGCCTCGGCTGCGCTGTGTTGTGGCGGCGGCGGGCCTTTGCTGGTAGCCACGTAGTAGGGACTCTCGGCAAAAGCTGCCTCTGCTGCTGCTGCTGCTGGGCTGCCAGGCTCTGCCGGAGCGCTGGCATCGCTGCCCGAGTGGGACAGCGGGCGCTGCAGAGCGCCGGCAGGCAGCACGGTGGCGGCGGGCAAGAGCCCGGGGTAGAGCATGTACGTGGCGCCGTAGGCACCGGCATTGAGGGCCAGGGGCGAGAGGGGCAGCGGGACGGGGGCGACGGCCGGCTGCTGGGGCACCGGCACCTCCACGTACTGCCCGGTCTCGGGGTCGAAGAGGCGCCGCTTGAGGGGCTGCTGCACCGGCGTGTCCACCAGGTAGTACTGCCCGGTGCTCACGTCCAGCAGCACCTTGCGCTGCGTTTGCGGGAAGGGCTCGGCCGCTGCGGCCGCGGCGGGCACGGAGGGCGAGAAGCAGAGCAGCGGCGGGGCGGCGCCGGGCAGGGCGGCGAAGGGCAGAGGCGGGCGGTACAGGGCGGCGGGCGGACCCTCGGCGGGCGGCGGGGCAGCGGTGGGGGGCTCCTCGGCGGGCGGGGGTCCGGGCGGGGGTCGGGGGCTGCCGGGGGGCTTGGCAGTGCCGAAGGGCTGCAGGCTGCACAGCGCCGTCGCCGCCGCCGCCGCCGACACCGGGCTGGGGCGGACGCCGCCGCCCGCCCCCGACACCGGCACCGGGGAGGGCGGGGAGCCGGGTTCGGTGGGCGCCTTCAGCGGCAGCGCCAGGTAGTTCCCGCAGTCCTGGCCCCGCTCCGCGTCGCCGGCGCCTCCGCCCCCGGGCAGGCGGGGCGAGCGCGGCGGTGCCTGGCTTGCCGCGGAGGGGAGCTTGCCCGGCCCTGGGGCTCCCGCTCCTCCGGCACCGCGGAGGGTGAGGAGGGCGCGGGGAGCGGCGGGGGGCTCGGCGCGGGGGGGCGGAGGGCCGCGCTGCCGCTGCCGGGCCAGGCTCTCAAAGGCGGCCGCCTTGGCCGAGACCTTGTCGGCCGTGTTGCTGGAGGGGCGGCGAGGCAGCCGCTCGCTGCCCGGCCCCTTGCTCGACGGCTCCTCCGCCTTATCCGCCGGCGGCGGCGCGGGGGGAGCGACAGCGGCGGCGGACCGGGACCCGGCGTCCCGTTCCTGGCTGGCGATGAGGGAGAGGACGTGGCTGTCGGTGATGGGCAGAGGGTCGCTTTTGCGCTTCCACTCGCGCTTGTTGAAGCTGTACAGCTCCTCCATGCTCCTCACCGCCGCCGTCAGCTTCTCCAGCGCGTTTTGCACGGGCGCCGCCTTGCTCTCCTCCCGCGGGTCCTCCTCCGACCCCCGGCCCCTCTCGGCGGGCGGCGGCGGGGGCTGGTGCCGCCAGGGCGCGGAGGATTTAGAGACGATCTTCAGCACGGCCGGCTGGCGAGCATCGCTCTTGTTGGGGGCGATGGTGGCCACCGGCAACCTGCCCGACGTGCGGTGCACCAGGACCGTGCCGCCTTCCGCGGGGCAGGCCGGAGCCTTGCTCGCCGCCTTGGCCCCCGCCTCGGTGGGCTTGGTGCCAGCGTGGCCGACCGCCTGGCAGGTGATGACCACGGGGGAGAGGGACCGGGGGACACCGGCGATGACCAGTTGCTGCCGGGACTTCTGCTCCGGGCCGCCTTGCTCGGAGGCGCCGCTGCCCTTGTCGCTGCTGTTATCCCCCGAGTCAGCGCTGTAGGAGCTTTTGATGAGCTTCCGCACGTCCCGCACCTGGTGGAGGATCCCCTGGGCTCTGTACTTGCTGTCCCTCACGTCGCGCACCAGGAACTGCGGCACCTTGTCGTGGCCGTCGCCGGCCTTGAGCGGCTTGATGTGCTGCCCCCTGCCCTCCTCCAGCGGCCGGCCTGCGATCTGCGGCGTCAGCAGTTGGGCGATGCTGAAGGCGGCGTCCCTGGGCTGCTGCACACTGCCCAGGCTGATCTTGATCTCGGGGGGTTTGGGCTTGGCGGCGGGGGACGAGGTGGTGGTGGCTGTGGGTGAAGTGGTGGCGACGGCGGGCGAAGAAGTGGTGGCGGCGGCGGCGGAGCACTTGGTTGCCCGCTTGCCGGGCTCCTTCTCCCGGGGGGTGTGCTGAATCGCGGGGACGAACAGACGGGACATCTTGGTGGACTTGCCGGCGGAGATCTCGCCCAAGTCGGCCCGCCAGTCCTGCTTGTGCGGGAGCTTCAGCTTGCCGACGGGCGCCCTCTCCTCCTTCCTTTCTGCCTCCCGCTCCTTCCAGGACCTGAAGGCGCTGTTCTGGCTGCGGAGGAAGGTGGCCTTGATGGCCTCCGAGGCGCTGCGCTTCACCTCGCACAGTTCATCCGACAGCGCCCGATCCAGGCTGCGGTTCCCCTCGCGGGGCGGTGATGCCTTGGAGGCCGGCGATCGGCCACCGCCACCCTCGCCCGCATCCTCCGCCGCCGCCGCCGCCGCCGCCGCCGCGGTGCAGTCCGAGCCGCCCTCCGAGTGCCGGGAGCTCTGCCGCTGCACGCCACTCTCCCGCTGCCGCTCCCGGCCGGCGCCGCCGACGGGCTCCGGCTCCCGGCCGGCTCCCGGCCCGGTGTAGGAGGTATCGGTGATCTCGCCCCGCTCCATCTTGAACTCGTGCTCCAGCTGCATCTTCTTGGAGATGACGTTTTTGAGGAGGCTGGAGGCGAACTTGGACTTCTTGCTGGATCCCTTCCCGCCGCACTCCGCCGCCGGCGGTTCCCTGGCCTCGGCGGCATCGCCGAGGTCCAGCAGGGTCACCACCCGAGAGCCCGCTCGCAGCCGCCGCGGCGACTCCACGTGGGCGATCTCCCCGTCGAGCTTGCTGACCACGAACTCGAGGGCTTTGGTCTGCGAGCGGCCGGAGCGCAGCAAACTGGGCTCGGCTCTCGGTCCCAGACTGCCACACTTGAGGTCCAGGTAGGTGGACCAGCGGTTGATGCCCAGGGCATTGTCGGGCAGGGAGGCAGAGGAGGCGCGGGAGCCGGGGCGCAGGGTGTCAAAATAGGGGTACGCCAGGCTGCGGAAAGCCCTGGCCGTAAGGTTTCGCACCTCTTTGTCGGCATCGTCCAGCTCGCTGACGGCGCTGGAGGCGCCGCTCGAGTGCTCCCCTGCCCTGGCGGCCCCGCACCGGGTCTGCAGCCGAGCGGGGACCGCGATGAACTTTTTCGCGTGGTCGCGGACCGCGTCCTGTTTTAAACTCGCATTGCGGTCGGGAGCCGCGGCGACACGGAGGCTCATGTCGCCTTCATGCTTGGCAGCGTAAACAGTGTTTTGCTTTCCACGCACGTTGCTAGACTCATTTATAGCCCGGGAAGCGGCTTTGATTGATAGGAGAAGCTGGGCTGCCGGGCTCCCGCCGGGACGGCCGGGCTGCTTGGACCGGCTTTCCCCCGAGCTGGCGCGCTTGTCCCCACCGGGGGTGTCGTGTTCGGAGGTAAGGCTGACGATCTCGGTGCTGCTGGTGTTGTCGATGCTGTCCGTCTGGTTGTTGGGGTCGCTGGTGGTCGTGCTGAGGTAGCAGCTATTCTCCTCCTCCTCCGTCAGCGTGTCCCCCGGGGTCTCGTCGCTCCCGAAAGAGGCGTAGTCCACGAAGGAGTAAATCACGTTGTTATCCTCGAAGTCCCAGCGGGCGGCCAGCCCCGCGTCGAAGTCCATGTCGTGGTCCACCTCGCTCAGCTGGATCTCCTGCGTGCTGATATAGTGCGCCTCGTCGCGGCCGCCGCCGGGGGGGGTGCCCGGGGGAGGTCCGGGTGGGGTCGCCTTGCTCCCCGCGACCTCGTCCTCCTCCTCGCTTTCATATCCGAAGGAGGACGAGGAGGTTTTGCCCTCCGTTGACACCGGGTCGCCCATTACCAGAAAGCCGTCCGCCTTAGTCACCGGCGAAGGGCAGGAGGAGGAGGAGGACTCCGGGCAGCCCCCTGGCTCCGGTGGCCCGCCGCTCCGTGACGCTCCCCCGGGGCCGGAGCCGGGGCCGGAGCCGGTGTCAGCCCCGCATCCCGCCGCCTCCGCCGGGGAAGGCGGTCGATCCCGCCCGCTGTCCGAGGATGCTGGCCCCGTCGCCTCCGCCGGGGATCCACCTCTCGCCGAGCCGCCATCCTCAGTGCCGCCGGCTCCGCTGTCCGGTGCGGGGCCGGCCGCTCGCTCCGCGCCGCCGGCCGGGGCCAGCTCGGGGCTCTGGTGGCTCTCCTCCGGCTCCCGCGGCGAGCCGCGAATCTCCACGTACGCCGCCTCCTCGATGGCCTCCTCCGGGCTGGGCTTCGGGCTCGGGCTCGGCTTTGGGCTTGGGCTCGGGCTCGGAGCCCGTCCCGCCGCCGCGACCTCAGGGCCGGCTCGGGGGCTGGCGGGCTGCTGGCCGGGCGCGTCCATGCCGGGGCCGTCGGGGCGCGGCAGTGGCCCGAGGGGGCGGGCAGGCACGTGCCGGCGGGGACGGGGGGGCAGCGGGCCGCCCACCCCCTGTCCTGCCCTCCCCTCCTCTTTCCTCCCCTCCTCCGCCCGCCGCGTCGGCTCTCGGGCCGGGCGGACATCGCCGCCGGGGGGCGGAGGGGTCGGGCCGGGCCGGCCGGGCTCGGCTCCCCCCTCCGCAGCTCCGAGGGACACCTCTTGGTCACCGCAGGAGCGTGGCCCTGCGGATCCCGGGACGGGCCCAGATCGCTCCCAGTTTTTCGGCTTCACTTGGCCGGCCCCAGGCGCCGACTGTACATAGAGCCAGCGTCGTTTGGACGGATGAACACAATCTTATTTTAAACGTCTGTGTTTGCCGGAATAAAGGTGCCCGGACACCCCTTGGAAGGGGAGAGCTGCCCGTGCCTCCAGAGATGCTGCTGCTGCCCGGTTTCCCCGGGAGCCAGCGGCACTGGCTGGAAGAGACAGCTTGCAGGACACCGGCTTGCAGCAAGTGCACCCTCGTCCCACACGCAGCAGTGGCTAAACAGCTTTTATCTTCCTGCACCCTGTGTCCCAACTCGCAGGAAGTGTGGTCGGATGCCGGTCTGGCCCTGCACCTTCACAGTAGTCCAGAGAGCCACCGGTCAGGGGACCCAAGCTGCCTTTTTCCAAGAAATTCAGGTTTAGACATAACCAGCACATAAGACCTATTAATAGGCATTTATGGCATGCCTGACCTTTGGTGGCTGAGAGCTTTCCTGAGCAGTCCCCAAGATGACACACCAAAAATCACTCCAGCACCATGGAAGGAAAAGGCAAGCTGTTAAGCACCAAGGAGAAATGATGGAAAGCAAGCAAGTAATGCATACCTGAGCAGCCCTCAGGTATATAATGAAGATAATGTCCTAAATTTACAGCTTAAAAAACCAGCACCTGAATGCTTGGGTGAGCAAGTGGTCATTTTGCTGGTAACACTGAACTGATTTAGGGGAGGGTTGTGGAAATCCCTAAAGCAAGCACCGGGATCCATGACCCTATGGCTGCATGCTCTGGCATGGTGTGCAGCTCTACCAGGGATGCCACAGGGACACAGGGACCAAGAGGCAGAGCAGATGCCATCCCAGACCGTTTCCCAGAACTATGTTAAAACAAGGGTTTCCCAGTCCTCCCAGCTCCTTATTCTATGCCGTAGCCAGGATGCTCTGCTGCCATCCTCCCCATGGGGCTGCATTGTTCCTGCTGTCTCCAGGAAAAGTGAGCTCCCTCCTTTACTGAAGCCAGCAGAGTCTTGTGAGGGTCCCTGCAGCAATGGCAGGTTCATATCCTGTTTCAGATAAGGGTCTCTGCTGCATGGAGGAAAACAAGTGAGGTGGCACCTACATAGAGACATGGTAGTTTGTTAGGCTCCAGATTGTCAGCATGGAAAATATTACTGAAGCAGGAGGTGATATTTTAACAGACACGTTCTCCAAACTCAGAAAGTTTAGAATAAGTCAGGTCACGTGCAGCGAGGCTCTTCACATGCAGCAGGGATAACTGATTCCCATCCTTGCTGGGGCTGTCCTGCCTCCAATGTGCTGTTAATGAGAAGCTGGGCAGCAGCTGTCAGGAGTACTAGGCTTACCCAGCCTTAGTCTTAGCTCAGGTTTACGTAGCTTCAACTCCCCTTGTACACACGACCGCAGTTCTCCACAGAGCTGTTGCAAATGGCATCATCATCCCTAAACACAACTTCACTGGGTATTGTGTCCCATCCACACACATTTTAGACTTGCCCCTCTGTCCCAAGCACCCACAATAAAAACATGACATAACTAGAGAAAGACACTATTTTAGCATATTATTAAAGAGACATCTTGGTTTTAATTGATGATGGGACAAAAGTAGATCCTTGAATACATTCCTTTCCAAATGTTTGGGGTGCAGAGGAACACTGGGTTTTAAACCCCAGTCATTCATTGCACTTGGGTGAGTCCTGGCAGCTGTAGCAGCCCAGCCTTCTGCTCTGCCTCTGCCTTCTACAGATGCCTCCTGTCAAGCAAGGTCTCCACCCCGTGTTCTCAGTGCCCCCACCCTCTGATCCCCTAAACCAAGGTCTAAGGTGTCAAATCTCTCACACCTTACTCTGTTCTCCTGCATTAAGAATACACAGTGAATCAGATCTGTGCTCCCAAAACCAGCACAATTAAAAGCGGTGGTGGTTTTTTGAGTTGTGACAGTTGTTCGTATACTCCTGCCAAGATCCCCAGACAAGATCCCCACCAAAACGAGCATCGAAACTTGACTCTTTATTTATCTATTTTTACAGTCTACTTTTCAGCTATGTTTCAGAGATTTTTTTTTTTTTTTTTGCTATTTTCCTTTGGTAATATCTTGAACTTAATCTACTCAGTCTTACAAAACCAGGCAATGACTCTCACAGCTGAGACTGAGACCATAATGGGGCACTCATGTGTGTATGTTTATAAAATATTTGTGTCTCCAGCACAGGGAATTTATGCCCCTGCTGACAAAAATACATACATAAAATCCACACCTGTTCTTCTCCACTTTCAGTTATGGCTAGCCCTGGAGGCCTGCATGCCTTAGGCAGTCAGATCAGGGTATTTCCCATGGCACTAAGACATTGCCATAGTGTACAGAGCCACACAAATCCTAATGCCCTTTGTAAAAAGTGAATCTGTAACATCCAGCTTAAGTGCTCTAATCGCTGTATGGTATTAGGGGAGGGAGGGAAAATGAGAAGGATTTCCTCCTCACTTTTTTGTATCAGAAATTACTGCACTGACATGGCGCCAGCTCCTGAGAGGTGCTTTGCTGCGAGTCTGGCCCCGAGCAAAGTGTAACATTCCATGGGGGTTTAGGCTTAATTCCTTCTCCTCAGCCTTTCCTCTTAGCTACCTTAGTGTCGGCTTTTGTAAAGCCTGTTTTGGAGGTGTCTAATAGCCTCCATGCTTCGTATCCAAAGCTTGGGTGCACAGCTTGAACCCAGGGACTGACTCTGCAGGACTGATCTCCTGTAGTGGTGCCTTACAAAGGGTTTGCAAAGGTGTGAATGGGTTTGTTTTCAGTCTTTTCCTATACCTATTACTGTTGCCAGAAAAACCCTACAGCAAGGAAAGTAAAGCGATAGAGACCTGTTTGGTATCAGCCAAGAGTACACTGGAAAACTCTGGCTCCATCACACCTTCTTGCAAATAGCAATTTCTCACTCTGTGCTGGCAAGGTTTCTCCACTGATTAGTAATCAGATCGATGTGATTTGACTAATAATATTCGATATCAGTAACTAACACATCATCCTTATGATCGTAGCAGTACTCAGTTGAGGCATTCATTACCACTAGTTACTCTGTTGTGGTTTCCACCTGTACATCTCTCTCATTCACTAGAGCTACCCGTGTCTAAGATTTTTGTGTCTAAATGTGTCACGATGCTATTGGAGCTGTCCTCACAATCACAGGATTGTATGTTTAATGCCTTTCATAATGTAGTAGGTACTCTGCTTTTAAGCTCTTTCTGGTAAAAATAACAGAACACCCTGTTTAGCCACATTCTTCCCTTTGGTGATATAGGTCAGGTCAGGTAAAGGTCGGAGAAAAATGCAGATAGGCTGAATTATCTGTGCACCTTAAAATACATCACTCATGAAAGCAGCAGGAAAGTGGGATTTAAAAGGGATTTGAGAAGAGGCACTTAAAAGCAGAATCAAGACATTAAGGATGAGGTTAGAGAGACTAGAAATATTATCCTGCATGGGAGACCATGCAGAAGAAGGCATAGGTTGTTTTTTTTGTTTTGTTTTGTTTTGTTTTGTTTTGTTTTGTTTTGTTTTTCCTAACTGTGACAGACAGAAAGGTGAACAACTGGTGGGGGAGGATTTAGTTGAGCTTTCTCTGAACAGGGAAAGGTAAAATATTATCTTCTTAATTTAACCTTAGGAAATGTTGATACAGCGTTACATATTTTAGTTCTTACAGTGTTAAGCCACAGATTTAAAAAACTGAAGTAGGAAAAACTATCGCGAAGGAGTTATTAAGATCAGGCTCATACAGAAGGAAAATGAAAATATTATTTTCATGGAACAGACAGACACATCCAGCACCTAGGATGGTCTGCAGGAGTGGTTAAGCTTCTCACATGGAAAGAAATGATGGCTTTCACAGAAAATAAGGAAACTACACAAGGATTCTGCTGTATTCTGTGCACACAGCAAAACGTGTTTGCTATAGGTTCAGAGGGAGGTGAAGAATGATAGTCATAGAAAGAAGCTTAAATTTTGGCTGATTATTCTCCTGAGTAGTATTTGAATACTACTGGATTCAGTTTTTCTCCCGGTAGTTTTTTGATAATGTTGCACATTGTCAAAATGAGCTCTGTGGTAGACATCATCTTTGAAATCAAAACAAATAAATACTTGACTGGAGTTTAGATGTGCGTGTGTGTTAAGGAGAAGGGAAAACTGAGAACAGCACCTTGATCTTCTCTCAGACTAGGAAGGAGGGAGGAAAAAAACACTTTGGGAAAGAGGAAGTGTACTCGTGGTTTAGCAATAAACAGTGAAGCCCAGCACACATTATAAATCTCCAAGCGCTACCAGATATACTGAAAGGAAATACAATACTGACGCGCACGTGAGTTGTTATGGAAGCTTTATAGTAAATCCCGTGGAAATAAAATAAGATTTTTTTTTTAGCTGGCACTAAAATGGTGTCTCTTCTGGGATTTAGCAGGGGGACTGCCTGAAAAAGTACTGAGTCCTAAGTGAAAGCCAACACCTGGACAGCTCAATCCTTTATCTCGCAGAGATGACGCCACTCAAAGGGATCTTTCCTTTTCCATCCCGAGCCTTCTGGAGAGACTGGGGAGCTCTTCTAAACACTCAACCAGAAAATGTAAACCATATGTGGGCTCCTTCCTGGCAGACCTCTGCTTTTCGGTGAAAGTCAGACCTTGCAAAAGAAACAGACTCAAGACCCCAAC